CACAGTGAAACTCTTCTTGCCAGATCAGTTCATCTTGTCTGTCTCCAAAGTGAGTTCCTCTCAAGATATCCACAGCCTGGCCACACTCTAACTCATTACATATAACAGAGGCGGTTTTGAAATCAATGTGTGAAAAACAGACTGTAGCCCAAGTTTTTTCTTGCTTTACTTTCAGATGTCCTGAGCAGGCAGTGTGCCCTCCAGTCAGACGCATCCCAGAGAAACCTGGAAAAAAACCCCAAGAAATCCAGCATCAAGGGTTAGTTGTACTGACCTAATTTAATAACTCCCATACCTTCATGGGCAAGACACATGTCACTTCTCTGAGGACCACTGACACGTTTAAATAATCATTGTGGCAATTCCTGTATGCCACTGACAAGAGAGAAAATGGTGTGGGGGAATGCTTATTTCTTAGTATGTGAAAATACTAAATCCTTGGAAAGCTACGGAAGGAGGGAAGTTTTGAACATTTGCCAAATGCTTGAGAAGTAACAATCCCCAAATAAATAAATAAATAAATAGCCATTTACTATTGTGTGTCCTCAAGACTTCATTATTCAAATGAATAGGAAGTTGAAGTGCCCTAGAAAGAGGAAAGAGGAAATGTTGCACCTGTTTTCAGAAAAGGCTAAAAAGACAGTCTGGAGATCTACAGGCTGGTCAGCCTCACTTTGGTACCTGGGAAAAACATGGAGTCCTCCTGGAACACATTTCTGAGCACAAGAAGGTGAATGGGAAGAGTCAGCATGGATTTACCAAGGGTAAATCATGCCTATGTGACCTCATTACTTTCTCTGATAAAAGTGACTGGATTTGTAGATGAGGGGAGACCAGAGCATGTAATTTACCTCACATTTAGCAAGGCCTTTGACACTGTTATGCACAATATTCTTGTGTCCAAACTAGGATGTTACAGTCTGGGTGGGTGGACAACTACATGGCTAAAAAGCTGATTGGATGCTCAGGCTCAGACAGTAGTGATTAGTGGGTTGCACTCTACCTGGAGACTGGCAACAAGTGGAATACCACTTGTTGGGTCTTTCCTGGGACCTGTTCTGTTTAGCATCTTTACCAAAAACATGGAGGAGTTGATGGAGTGCATTTGGGGGGTGGGGGGAGATAACCCCAAGGGCAGAGCTGCCATTCAGAGGGACCTAGACAGGCCGGATTGATGGGTTGACAGGAACCTTATAAAAATCAAAAAGGATAAATGTAAAGTCCTGAAGCGGGGAAGGAAAAACCTCTTGCAATGGTACTTTATCCAAAGAACAAAACCAAGCACATCTTGCAGAGGAAGGCAGCCAAACAGACATTGGATTTGTTTGCCATTGCAGACTGTCCTGTCTTAGCTTACATGAAGATCTGGAGAAGAAGGGCAGTTGTATGGCATAACACAGCATTTTCTTGCTTGTCCATCTACACGTGCTTTTGTAGCCCCCATTCCTGGTCAAAGACAAGTTTAGCACAGCTCTCCTGTTGTCTGGGAGAGCTGTGGTAGAAAGAAACAGTGTTTCTTTTTCTGTTCTATGTCATTTACTATGTCTATTTCCATTCTATGTCATTGCTGTGCCCAGGCAAAGGAGATACATTTGTAGCCAGCAGAAGACTTAATGCTGGTGCAACTTGCTTTGGCTGAGCAGAGGCCATGGAGAAAGTGTCACCTCTGTGCAGTACTTGGCTTTATCCAGCTGGGACAAAGTTTGATCTCAACCTCGCAGCATTTTTCTGTTATACAAGGTTGGATGACTTCTTACCTGAGCAGATCACTCCAGTATCAAAGTAATGAGGGCAGCTAAAAGAACCCCATCCTGTATGCGAGCAGTTCCAGAGAGCGGATTCATCACCACGGCAATCAACTCGATACAACCATGTTGGTCCAGATCCTTCTCCAAAAGGAGCTCGATTAAGGGCCTTAACAGCAGATCCGCATTGTAGTTGCTTACAAACAACCTCAGCATCTTCTATGGTCCAGTCACCATCGCACACAGTTCCCCACTTCTCCTCATGTTTTACTTCCACTCTCCCCGAGCAGGGGCCAGTTCCATTTGACAGCCTCAATTCATCAGCACCTTCATACACAGAGACAGAGCAAGGTTATGGAAAGGACAGTGCCTAATCACGATTGTCTATTGCAGATGGTTAATGAGACTATTATTACTCTTAATTTGCTCTTAAGTCAGACTTATTTAGTTCACCCTTGTAAAAAGTCCAACTTAAAGTTTTTTTGCAGGGAGCTGTGTCTGTATTTACAAGTTTGAGCTAACCACACTGCTAAAATGTAAGTTATTTCTAATGACAGGCGAGCTTTCTCTTCTTCTGACCTATCAGGGCTGGGAAATGCTGAGTAATGTCCCTGCTGTGTGATTCACAAAGGCTTCAACAGAAACTCCTCCTATCTCTTCGTTGTTCTGCCATGATGACATCCAGCTGAAAATATTCACTGGGCACCAGTTTCTTCATTCCCGTGTTCAGTATGGTGTGAAGAAGCAATTTCCCATGTCTGCCTCAACTTCTTCCTCTCAGACAAACTACTACTTGCAACTCAGTGTCCCAATACTCTATTTTTTCCCGCCTCTCTTGCTCTAGCCATGGGGTCCCCTAGTCAGGGGTACCCAATGAGAGAAGAGAATTACTCATGAGGAGTGACAAGCTATCTCAGGAGATGCAGCAGCATAAGCAGAAGACAGAGAGGTAGGTCTTCATGTTGTTCTTCATGCCCCACCATCTCTTGGGGTGGGGCTGCTGCCCAAAGAACCCTCTTTTCCTGCTCTGCTCCCAGGTCTGCCTCTTTCCTTTGATATGGATACGCATTTCCCAGTCGTTTTACCTGTGGACTCACAAAATAACATTACAGTCATCGCAGAGTGCTTAATAAAGAGCCTGACAGAAGAGGGAAGATGCACATATTGGTTTCTTGCTTTACAGCATTGTACTGCTACTGTAGATGCTTCAAATATTATACAGTAGCTTAGCACAGGGACTTAAAGGCTAGAAAACACAGGGAGAATTTTGTTACACTCAAATGCAGGAATGATGGTGGGACACAGAAGCAGTTCTTGGGAAGCCAAGCTACACAAAGGCCTGCTAGGACCCAAGAAACACAGGGGAGCAGGTCTGAGTCTGCGACTTACACACAGTAAACATTGGAAAAACTGAAGCATGTAGCCTAAGATGTAATGACACATAAAGAAAAAATGTGGACTTGTTCAGGAATTGTCTTAAGTTTTTTTTCCCCAGACGGGAATTTTAAGGCAAGAGTTTTGGAACATCTTTTCATAAAAATGATTCTTCACTTGCAGAAAGGTTCATATCTGCTTGAGTAAAAAGCATACACAGAATCACAGAATCATTGAACGTGTTAAGTTAATATTCTGAATTGACGTAGACAATGATTTTCTGTAGATGTTTCTGAAAACAAACGTTGAAACAAAAAAACCCCCAAACCTTCTGCTGAATTCCATCAAAACCAGTCACTGTTGTAATTAAACAACAATATGGATGGCATTCATTTGTTAGTTTATGTGATAGAAAGCTTGTCTCCATGTGCAAAGGGGAAAATGGCAGGTGGGGGAACCCCAATAATCCAGTCAGGGCCCTGCCCTGACCCCTTCTAGGGCTCTCCCAGCAGAGCAATCAGCCCCATTGTCCAGGTGTGAAACCCATCAGATGAATCAACATGAGGGCTTTCCGTGTCACCTTAGAGACTGAGGGGGGCTACTGCCTAGAGGGTATGGGACACTCCATGGGATGCAAGAGAAGAGCATCTTGGAATTGCACAAGGCTTATTATGGGATGTTTAGGACAGGAATCAAAGGTGGGGAAAGGGAGGGATCAAGGATGTTTGGGTGGGAGCAAGTGTGGGAAAATAGAAGGGTAAGTGGATAAAAGGACCAGAGTCAATGGGCACAAACTGAAACACAGGAGTTTCCATCTGGACATCAGGAAACACTTTTTTACCATGAGGAGGACTGAACACTGGAACAGGTTACCCAGGGAGGTTGTGGAGTTGGCTTTCTTGGAGATATTCAAAAGCCATCTGGACATGGTTCTGACAACTGGCTCTGGGTGGCCCTGCTTGAGCAGGGGGGTTGGACCAGATGACCTCCAGAGTTCCCTTCCAATCTCAACCATTCTGTGATTCTGTGAAAAGCAGCCAGTGGTGAGTAAGCAGGCTGCTGGTCAGTATGCTTGTCTGGCTGTGCCCTGCACCCAATCAGCACTGTCCGTTGTGTCTTCCTATTATAATCTATTTCTGTTTTCCTCAGTGAGGTGACTCTATTCAGTGTGCATGTGTCTGTATGGAGTTCTAAGTGCCAGCAGCTGGAGCTGAACCACAGGTCATAGAAGTACATGTCTTTGGTGCTGTACTGGTTTTGGCTGGGGTAGAGTTAAATTTCTTCATAGTAGCTGGTATGGGGCTATGTTTTGGATTTATCATGAAAACAGTGTTGATAACACAGGGATGTTTTTGTTACTGCTGAGCAGTGCTTACACAGAGTCAAGGCCTTTTCTGCTTCTCACACCACCCCACCAGCAAGTAGGCTGGGGGTGCACAAGAAACTGGGAGGGGACACAGCCGGGACAGCTGACCCCGACCGACCAAAGGGATATTCCATACTGTATGTGGTCATGCTCAGCATATAAAGCTGGGGAAGAAGAAGGAAAGGGGGACGTTCAGAATAATGGCATTTGTCTTCCCAAGTCACCGTTACACATGATGGAGCCCTGCTTTCCTGGAGATGGCTGAACACCTGCCTGCCGATGGGAAATAGGGAATGAATTCCTTGTTTTGCTTTGCTTCCACAGGCAGATTTTGTTTTATCTCAACCCATGAGTTTTTCTCACTTTTACCCTTCCGATTGTCTCTCCTATCTGTGAATGTTCACTCAACTCCTGCTCAGATTTTGGCTAGCACAGCTCATACTAAGACCTGACGTTTGCTGGGAGCAGTGCCATTAGGTCAAGGGGAGAACACCACATAGGCAGGACAGGTGGCTAGAAAGAGCTAAAAGGCCATTATGCAGCCATTATCACCTGCAGAGTGCTGGCTCCTGCAGCCATCATCTTTGTCTGGCAGTTTCTTCAGAATCTGCTAGCTTATGGAAATGGCATAGACCAAACTTCCAAGCTGGAAGGTATAAAACATCAGCTAACCCAAAAAAGCCTTTGAAGCAGATGGAACAGCAGTTGGATTGCTGAGGCTTTCATGCTTCCCAGTGTGATACTTCCCCCTTCCCAGGGGATGCTCGCACTGTGATGGAGGAGGAAGGATGAGCACTGTCACCGTTGGCTAGGTAACTAATTCTAATTTTTTTTTTTTTCTCATAGGTGCATGAATTAAGAGTTACAGGTTATAAGTTATGAAACCTTATAAATTGAATCAGTGAATTCACATGACAGACTAGTCTGGGCAAAGGGGAAATGAGCCCCTGTTGTTGTGGTTTTTTATTGTATTTCTTAACAAGCTCCTAAAATAAAGTTTAATTCACACACTACGTTGTCCTGTAAATTTGAGAGATCCAAACGGACTGTGACACCCATCCCACTAGGGGAGAGTGAGTGAGCGGCTGTGTGGTGCTTAGCTGCCTACTGTTGTTAAACCACAACGAATGCCAGCAACTGGAGTGAGTGGGGGTACCGCATGTCAGTGTGTGATTGCTAGTGAATATCAAGTTGGACTAATCAGTGAGCAAGTTAATTGGCCTGGGAGACAAGTATGTGTATGTGTCTCTGGGAGTGAGGTAACTGGAGAAGTTGACTACCAGAGGCACCAGAGGGTCCAGGCCAACCACTGGAAAGGTGGTAAGGTCACTCAAAGACCCATTTGCATGTGTGTCAGTGCATGAGGCAACTAGAGAGACTGAGGATCCAGGATCAGATACTGGATGGGCCGAGTGTCTGGAGGAATCAAAATTGTATGTATTTGCATATTTCCCACTGATAGACTTCTAATCAGCCAGAGAGGAAAACAGAGACTCATAGAATCACAGAATGGTTTGGATTGGAAGGGACCTTAAAGATCATCTAGTTCCAATCCCCTTGCCATGGGCAGGGACATCTTCAACTAGATCAGGTTGCTCAAAGCCCCATCCAACCTGACCTTGAACACTTCCAGGGACGAGGCACCCACAACTTCTCTGGGCAACCTGTTCCAGTGTTTCACCACCCTCATTGTAAAAAATGTCTTCCTTATAGTCAATCTAAATCTACCCTCTTTCAGTTTAAATCTGTTGCTGTTTGTCCTGTCACTACAGGCTGTGGTAAAAAGTCTCTTTCAATCTTTCTTATAAACCCCCTTTAAATATTGAAAGGCCACAAAGAGGTGTCCCCAGAGCCTTCTCTTCTCCAGGCTAAACAACTCCAACTCTCTTAACCTTTCCTCACAGGAGAAGTGTTCCAGCCCTCTGATCATTTTTGTGGCCCTCCTCCGGAGCCACTCTAACAGGTCTTTTGTACTGGGAACTCCAGAGCTGGATGCAGTACTCCAGGTGGGGTCTCACCAGAGTGGAGTAGAGGGGCAGAATCTCCTCCCTTGACCTGCTGTCCACGCTTCTTTTTATGCAGCCCAGGATGTGATTGGCTTTCTGGGCTGCAAGCGCACATTGCCGGCTTGTGTCCAATTTGTCACCCACCAGTACCCCCAAGTCCGTCTCCACAGGGCAGCTCTCAATCCATTCATCCCCCAGCCTGTACTGATCCTGGCAATTGTCCCAACCCAGGTGCAGGACCTTGCACTTGGCCTTGTTGAACTTCATGAGGTGAGGTTCATATTTGCCCATTTCTCAAACCTCTCAAGGTTCCTCTGGATGGCATCCCTTCCCTCAGGCATATCAACTGCACCACTCAGCTTGGTGTCATCTGCAACCTTGCTGAGGGTGCACTCGATCCCACTGTCTATGTCATTAGTAAGGGTATTGAACAGTACTGGTCCCAGTACGGACCCCTGAGGGACACCACTTGTTACTGATCTCCATTTGGACATTGAGCTGTTGACTGCAACTCTTTGGATGTGGCCATCCAGCCAGTTCCTTATTCATTGAATAGTCCATCCATCGAACCCACATATCTCCAATTTAATGACAGGAATGTTGTGTGTGACCATGTTAAAGACCTTACAGAATTTAAGATAGATGACATCAGTTGCTCATGAAAAGGCTATTGGTGCTGTTTGTGTCACTGTTGCATAATTCTGTCTGTGTGGCCAGCCATGTACAGGTGTATGTGTGTGTGCATATCTGTATATCAGTATATGTGTGTTACATATGTGTGTGCCTATTGGGACTACAAGTTAACCTCGCTACTCGTTGGACCTCAGGAAATAGAGCTGTAAGTGCCTTTTCTCTTATCATGCTACCAGTTTCAGCAACCCCTGCACAAGAAAGGTTTTTAAGAAGGACTTTATCAAGCAGTAATCAGACATTTAAGCATTGATAACATGAGAAAGATACATGCCTTAAACCTTGGGATACAGGCCAACCTGAAATGAAGACAGGTATGTAATTATTTGCTGGATATAAATGCTCAATTGAATTACACATAGAATATTGAAATATTTGAAAGGAATTTTATGTTTCAGAGGAAAGGAAGCTCTGCAGCTTTTGTGATGGAACTAAGAAGCCTGAGGTACTTTTAAAAAAATTAAGTCTGCTCCTTGACAACTAAATAATTCTGTACTCATCATGTTCATCTGTTAACCATTGCTGTCGGCTCATGCACCCCTTGGAACCAAGTTGTTGGATATAAGATTTGTGCTTCTCAAGGAGAAAACTTAAAAGGAGAAAATGGAAAAAAAATGCTGTGTTGGCATTATGGAACCATGTGAATTGAAAGCCACTGGTGTGTCGTGACCGTGAAAGAG